GCAGAAGTTTTATTTGAACAATTGTAGTTAAGAACTTCTGTAATCTGGAGAAGGAATCAGGCATTCAAGTCTAGGAGGCACAGAGAACTCCCCCTCCAAATCAATAAAAATAGGTCACTACCTCAACATATAATAGCAAAACTTACAAATCTCAGAGAGAAGGAAAAAACCCTGAAAGCAGCTCAGAACAAGAGGCCTGAAACCTACAAGGGTAGAAACGTAAGGCTAGCTGCAGACCTGTCCGTAGAGACCTGGCAGGACAGAAAGGACTGGCGTGATATATTCAAGATGATAAATGAGAAAAATATGCAGCCAGGAATACTTTACCCGGAAAGGCAGTCAATCAGAATAGAAGGAGAGATAAAGAAATTCTAGGACAAACAGAAACTAAAGGAATTTGTGAACACTAAACCAGCACTGCAAGAAATATTAAATGGGAGTCTTGGAGCAAAGAGAGAGCCCAAAAGTAACATAGACTAGAAAGGAACATGGACAATCTAAAAAAACAGGGAGTTTACAAGTAATACAATGGAACTAAATTCCTATCTTTCAATAATTACTCTGAATATAAATGGGCTAAAAGCCCCAATCAAAAGACACAGGGTATCACATTGGATGAAAAAGCAAGACCCATTGATATTGTGTCTGCAAGAGACTCATTATAAACCCAAAGACACCTCCAGATTGAAAGTGATGGGGTGGAGAACAGTTTATCATGCTAATGGACATTCAAAAGAGAGATGGGGTAGCAATCCTTATACCAGACAAGCTAGATTTTAAACCAAAGACTGTAATAAGAGATGATGAAGGACAATATATCATAATTAAAGGGTCTGCACAACAAGAAGATTCTAAATATTTATGCCCCTAATGTGGAAGAGGCCAATTATATGAAACAGTTAATAACAAATTAAAGAAACACATTGGTAATAATATAATATTAGTAGGGAACTTTAACACCATACTCACCACAGTGGACAGATATTCTAAGGTCAACAAGGAAACAAGGTCTTTGAATGACACACTAGACCAGATGGACTTCACAGATATATTCAAAGCATTTCCTCCTAAATCAACAGAATACGCATTTTTATAGAGTGCACATGGAACACTCTCTAGAATAGATCATATACTGAGTCATAAATCAGGTCTCAACTGGTGCCAAAGATTGGGATCATTCCCTGCATATTTTCAGACCACAATGCTTTAAAGCTTGAACTAAATCACAAGAGAAAATCTGGAAGGAACACAAATACACGGAGGTTAAAGAGCATCCTACTAAAGATTAAATGGGTCAACAAGGAAATTAAAGATGAATTTTTTTTAATTCAGGGAAACAAATGAAAATGAAAACACAAGAGTTCAGAACCTTTGGGATGCAGTAAAGGTTGTCTTAGGTGGGTTGTATATAGAAATACAGATCTTTCTCAAGAAATATTAAAGTCTCAAATACACAACACAACCTTACATCTAAAGGAGCCAGAGTAAGAACAGCAAAGAAAACCTAGCCCCAGCAGGTGAATAGAATTAATAAAGATTAGAGGACTCCTAACTCTGGGAAACTAACTAGGGAGGGTGGGAGGAGAGGTGGGTGGGGGGTGGGGGTGACTGGGTGATGGGCACTGAGGTGGGCACTTGACGGGATGAGCACTGGGTATTATTCTATATGTTGGCAAATTGAACACCAATAAAAAATAAGTTTATAAAAGAATATTAGAGGAGAACTCAATGAAATAGAAACCAAAAGAACAGTAGAACAGATTAATGAAACTAGGACATGATTCTTTGAAAGAATTCATAGGATTGATAAACACCTGGCCAGACTTATCAAAAAGAAAAAGGAAAGGAACCAAATACAGAAAATCATAAATGAAAGAGGAGAGCTCACAACCTACACTGAAGAAATACAAACAATTATAAGAACATATTATGAGCAACTATATGCCATCCTATGGCATCCTTTCCTGATTAAAGCTCTTTGCAGTGTGGGGATCGAGGGAACATACCTCAATGTTATAAAAGCCATATGTGAAAAATCCACAGCAGATATCATCCTCAATGGCAAAAAGTGAGAACTCTTCCCATAAGGACAGGAGCAAAACAGGGATGTCCATTTTCACCACTGTTGTTCAACATAGTACTGGAAATCCTACCTCAGCGTTCAGACAACAAAAAGAAATAAAAGGCATCCAAAGTGGCAAAGAAGTCAAATTTCACTCTTCGCAGATGAAATGATACCTTATGTGGAAAACCCAAAAGACTTCACCCCAAAGTTGCTAGAACTCATGTAGGACTTCAGCAAGCAGCAGGATATAAAATCAATGCGCAGAAGTCAGTTGCACTTGTATACATTAACAATGAGACAGAAGAAAGAGAAATTAAGGAGTTGATCCCACTTACAATTGCACCAAAAACCATAAAATACCTAGGGATAAACCTAACTAAAGAAGTAAAGAATCTGTACTCTGAAAACTATAGAACACTTGTAAAAGAAATTGCAGAAGACACAAAGGATTGGAAAAACTTTCCATGCTCATGGACTGGAGGAACAAATATTGTTAAAATGTCTGCTACCCAAAGCAATCTACATATTCAATGCTATCCTTATCAAAATATCATCAGCATTTTTCACAGAGCTGGAACAAATAATCCTAAAATTTGTGTGGAACCAGAAAAGACCCTGAAAAGCCAAAGGAATGTTGAAAAAGAAAACCAGAGCTGGAGAAATCACAATTCTGAACTTCAAGCTGTATGACAAAGCTGAGATCATTAAGACAGTATGGTACTGGCAGAAAAACAGACACATAGATCAATGGGACTGAAGTGAGAGCCCAGAAATGGACCCCCAACTCTATGGTCAACTAATCTTTGATATTTTGATCTTTTACCTACCGACAGAAAAGAATATCCAATGGAAAAAAGTCTCTTCAACAAATGGTGTTGGAAAATTGGACAGACACGCACAGAAGAATGAAACTGGATCATTTTCTTACAGATACAGAAAAATAAACTCAAAATGGATGAAAGACCTAAATGTGAGATAGGAATCCATCCAAATCCTAGAGGAGAATACAGGTAGCAATCTCTTTGACTTCAGCCACAGCAATTTCTTGCTAGACATACCTCCAAAGGCAAGAAAAACAAAAGCAAAAATGAACTATTGGGACTTCATCAAGATAAAAAGTTTATGCACAGCAAATGAAACAGTTAATAAAACTCAAAGACAGCTTACAGAATAGAAGAAGATATTTATAAATGCCTTATCAGATAAAGGTCTAATATCCAAAATCTCTAAAGAACTTGTCAAACTCAACACCCCCCAAAAAATAATCCAGTCAAGAAATGGGCAGAAGACATGAACACATATTTCTCCAAAGAAGGCATACAAATGGCCAAAAAACATGTGGGAAAAATGCTCAACAGTACTCCACAGCAGGGAAATGCAAATCAAAACCACAATGAGATACTACCGCATGGCAGTCAGAATAGCTAAAATTAACAAGTCAGGAAACGACAGATGTTGGCAGGGATGCAGAGAAAGGAGGACCCTCTTATTGGTGGGAAATGCAAGCTGGTGCAGCCACTCTGGGAAACAGTGTGGAGGTTCCTCAAGAAGTTAAAAATAGAGCTACCCTACAACCCAGCAATTTACACTATTAGGTATTTACCCAAAGGATACAAACATAGTGATTCAAAGGGGCACCTGTACCCCAATGTTTCTGGCAGGAATGTCCCCCAATAGCCAAAACATAGAAAGAGCCCAGATGTCCATGTACAGATAAATGGATAAGGAAGATATGGGGTATATATAGAGTGGAATATTACTCAGCCATCAAAAAACTGAAATCTTGCCATTTGCAATGATGTGAGTTGAACTAGAGGGTATTATGTTAAGTGAAATAAGTCAATCAGAAAGACAGTTATATGATCTCACTCATACGTGAAATTTAAGAAACAAAACAGAGAATAGGAGTAGAGAGGGAAAATAAAATAAGACAAAATCAGAGAAGGAGATGAGCCATAATAGACTCCTAACTCTAGGAAACAAAGTGAGGGTTGCTGGAGGGGAGGGGAAGAGGGGCGTGGGGTAAGTGGGGGATGGGCATTAAGGAGGGCATGTGATGTAATGAGCACTGGGTGTTATATGCAAAACTGATGGTCACTAAACTACCTCTGAAACTAATAACAAAGTATATATTAATTGTTGGTTTTAAATTAAAAAGGAAAAGAAAGATAAAAATCCTGCATGTGTAAGCAAATCCATGTATGCAGCCTCCCTCACACCCACGCACACATAAGTGCATTCCCAAGTATATACAATGTGTGGCCTAGCATGCTAGTATGCAGATCATTTTGAGGATTAAATGAAATGTTAATACATGTTAAAGTTCAGTTAAAAATTTGGCATATAGGAAATATCTAACACATCGTTCACAAGTTTGGAAGTACACAGAGCAGAATTGGAACTCTAGAGACCCCTGAGTATGATAAGTGATGGCTCTTCTTCTGTTTGCCTTTCTGTATTTTCTGATGTTTCTGCAGTTAGCCTCCACTAAGAACGAAATAGCATAACGTGGTTAACAGAATGCTCTATGGAGCTGGGTGGCCTGAACATGAATCCCAGCTGGGCCACTCTGACTTAGATAAGTGAAATTGGGCCCGTTGCCCTCTCTGTCTCAGGTTCCCCATCTACAATCAGGAGGACTGTCTGAGCTACCAGGCAGGGTGTTGTGAGGATTAGATCAATGAACACACACAATGTTGTCATTGTCATTGTTATCATTGTCTGTTTGGACACCTCTGGTACCCAGCTACAGGTGATGGATCCATAAAGGAAATGCTCAGATCCCTTATTTCATGCTCTCAGATGACACCCAGTCCTTGGCCTCGTGTGACAGGCCTGATAGCATATCTGTGCATACCTAGAGGCCTTCAATGGCCAGGAGCAAGGGAAACTGAGGGGGCAGGGAAAGGGGAATCTCCCCCACAGCAATGCTCACCTGTGAGTCCCAACAGCAGAGCCAGCAGCAGGTAAGCAGGAAGGCTAGGTCCGGAGGCAGAAGTTGACATTGTGGAGGCCAGAGGACCCTGCTCCGTACAAATGTGTGTTCTGGGGAGAACTGGCCTCTGTTCTCTCTGCCCCTCTTGTGAAATAAGAGGAAGCATCTATGATGCAGTGACATAGCTGTGAGGCCACATTCTGCTTCTGGATTGTGAAACCGAAGTCAGGCAGACAAGGCCTCACAGGGTGAGGAGGGCCTCTTCTTATGTTTCAGAGAGAGTGGACAGATTAGTAGAAATGATGCTTTCTGCCCTCCTGGGGCATCTGCTCTCTGCATTTGGCCTCTCCTCCAATCTTGAGGTGTTCAGGGAGATCCTCCACTTGGGAGCCCCAGGCCAAGAAGGATCTGTGGTTGGCGGCTGTGTCCCAAACTCCTGAGCCCAGAACACTTGAGGGTGGCTGGCTTGTGGCCTCATTCTGCACCAGCCTCCACCAAGAACTACTCAGTTGGTGGTAGGAATGGGTTCATCAGGGCCTTAAAAATTTGAGGATTGAATGAGGTCTGCTCCAGAAATGACTCCCTATTCCAACCCTTTATTGATGGAACTGATACAATTTCACCCCAATGCACAGTGCAGTGTGGACCTCAGAGATTGTATGTGCTTGAGGCACCTGGCTGGCTCACTTGGTGAAGTGAGCAACTTTTGATCTCAGGTTAGTGAGATGGGTGTAGAGATTACTTTAAAAAGAAATAAAATCTTAAAATAAAGAGAAGTTGTATGTGCTGTCTCCAACAAAATGCATCATTTCCTCCATTCTTTCAGGAGAGGAAGTGTTTTCTATGTCCCAGAAATCATACTCCCAGGCATTTATCTGAGAGATATGAAGACCATGGCTTCACGCAATCTCTGCATAAATGTTTAAATCAGCTTTCTTTGTAATGGGAAATACTGGAAACATGCAAAATATCCAGTGAGAAGTGATTGGTTGAACCAACTGTGCTGCATTCCTATGAGGATGTACTACTCAGCAATAAAAAGGAATAATGTATTTACATGTGCACAGCTTGTAAGTTTCCAAAGGCATTATGTTACATTAATCAAATCAATATCAAAATGTCACATACTGTGTGACTCCACTGACACAATATTCTTGAAGTTATAGAGAACAGATTGGCATGTGCAGGACGTTTGGCGTGATGGGGCTGGTTGTCCCTAAGAAAGGGTAGCACAAGGGTAACCTCTGTGGCCATAGAATTGTTCTGTACCCCGAATACGGTGGTGGTTATACAAAATATACATGAGCAGACTGACACAAACAAAGCTGGGCATGTTACACAAGATTGAGACACTTGACGTAATGAGCACAGGGTGTTGCATGTAACAAGTGAATCACTAAGTTCTACCCCTGAAACTAATACTACACTCCATGTGAACTAACTTTAACTTAAATAAAATCTTGGGGGGAAAAAAGGGATTGTGCTATAAAACACAATCTCATTGCCATTATAATGTGGACACTGACTATGATGTTGTCTAAAATTAAAATACTAAAGTGGTGGGGTAGAAATACATACATGTGGTGTGGGGTCAGGAGTAACAGAGCATTGTATCCCCATCATCCACAGTGGAAGTGACTGTATAACGCCTTTGAGTGAAAAGTCTAGAAGTAAGAATAGAAGCATGCTCTATGCGTTCTGACTATAGAATCTAGAAGAATCAATTAAAAATAATCAAAGGAGAGGGAAATGGCTGCCCCTAAGAGGTGGCAAGTAGCGGGAGGTAGGGAAACTCCAGTTTTCATATGTAGATTGTATAGAACTATTTACCTTTTGAAGCATGTGCATATGTAACTATAAGGAAGGAAGGTAAAAACTAATCTAGGTGAGTCAATTGATGTTATAAGAGTTACACATAAAAGAATGTCCACAGTATGAGCATTAGTATGAGTGTGATAAGCTTGGATAAGTTAAGTTCTATGCTCAAAACTCATTTACATTCATATATAGCAGTCCCAAACCCACTGCAAACAGTAATACTAATTTTTAAGGATTCCATAAATGAGAAAGTATTAAAAATAGCTCTAAGTAGGGATACATAAGACCATCATGGGACCAAAATTCTTCTTAAACTGGTGAACTAAAAGTCATCAAACAAAACCTAAATTGAGCTACCTCATGTCTGTGAGTAGCAAAAATCAGCATTGGAAAGATATTAATTTGCCCACATGAATATACAAAGTCAATGCAATTGAATCATAATTGTAAAAGGGTTTTTAATGAAAGTTGACAAAGTGATTCTAAAATGCATCTGGGGTGAGAAGAGCCATAGAAGTTCTGAGCAACAGGACAAGGTGGGAAGGTTTGCCCCAAAGAGGTATGGAAACTTATTAAAAAGCTATTCTAATTAAGACAAAGCAGTTAAAAAAATACATTTTGCATTAGCAAAACTCTCATTGCTGCTTGTACATGTTCTTCAGTTCGTTGGGAGAGTTCTGGTCATATCTTTTTTTAAAAAAAGATTTATTTATTTACTTGAGACAGAGAACAGAGCGAGCAAGAGAGAGAACATGAGTGGGGTAGAGGGGAAGAGGGCGAGGGAGAAGCAGGCTCCCCACAGAGAGAGAACCCAACAGGAGGGCTTGATCCCAGTACTCTAGGATCATGACCTGAGCTGAAGGCAGAAGCTTAACTGACTGAGCCACCCAGGCACCCCCGGTCAAATCTTTCATGCAGTTAAAAATGCAACTATCTTCTTGCTATTTTGTTGTTACAGTTTTTTTAAATATTCTCTCTCAGGCGCTGGCAAACTTTTTGTTAGAAGGTCGGACAGTAAATGCTTCATGCTCATAGGCCATCAGTCTGGGCTGCAATCACTTCTCTCTGATTTCAGCCTGAAAGAAGCCACAGATAATAAATCTGATAAACAGGCAGCTGTCATTTGCCCACCTCTGTCCCAAACGCAAGTCCTTATTAAATTCACTTTGCAAACATTTTCTCCTAGTCGGTAACCTTCCTTTTCTTTTTATTAACAGTATCTTTCAAAGAATAAAAGTTTTAAAGTTTTATGAAGTCAAATGGCTCAATATTTTCCTTTATAGATTGTCTTTCCCCTGTCTTATCTATAAAGTCCCTGCTAACCCAAGACCAAAAAGATTATTTTTGTTTTTTTTTATCCCTATGGTTTCTTCTATAAGCTTCATAGTTTTAGGTTTTAAATTTAAGTCTATGATCTATCTGTTTGTATTAATTTGTTCTTAGTACTTTTGTGTAAGTTGTTCAGTAATACTGATATTAGGCAATTTTTTAAGACAATTAAATTTTGTGTATGCTATAAGGAAATGGTCAAGATTTTCTTTTTTAGCAAGACCCATCTATTTGCTGTCTACAAGAGACTCATTTTAGACATAAGGTCACCTACATCCTGAAAATAAAAGGTTGGAGAACGATTTACCATTCAAATGGTCCTCAAAGGGATCCCTGGGTGGCGCAGCGGTTTGGCGCCTGCCTTTGGCCCAGGGCGCGATCCTGGAGACCCGGGATCGAATCCCACGTCAGGCTCCTGGTGCATGGAGCCTGCTTCTCCCTCTGCCTGTGTCTCTGCCTCTCTCTCTCTCTGTATGACTATCGTAAATAAATAAAAAAAAAAATTTAAAAAAAAATAAAAAAAAAAAACAAATGGTCCTCAAAAAAAAAGCAGGGGGAGCAATCTTCATATCAGATAAATTAAAGTTTATCCCAAAGACTGTAGGAAGAGATGAAGAGGGACACTATATCATACTTAAAGGATCTATCCAACAAGAGGACCTAACAATCATGAATATTTATGCCCCAAATGCAGGAGCTGCCAAGTATATCAATCAATTAATAACCAAAGTTAAGACATACTTAGATAATAATACACTTATACATGGAGACTTGAACACGGTGCTTTCTACAATTGATAGATATTCTAAACACAACATTTCCAAAAAAACAAGAGCTTTAAATGATACACTGGACCAGATGGATTTCACAGATAGTTACAGAACTTTACATCCAAATGCAGTTGAATACACATTCTTCTCAAGTGCACATGGAACTTAAACCACATACTGGGTCACAAATCAGGTCTTAACCGATACCAAAAGATTGGGATCGTCCTCTGCATATTTTCAGACCATAATGCTTTGAAACTAGAACTAAACCACAAGAAGAAGTTTGGAAGGATTTAGAACACGTGGAGGTTAAAGACCATCCTGCTAAAAGATGAAAGGGTCAACCAGGAAATTAGAGAAGAATTAAAAAGATTCATGGAAACTAATGAGAATGAAGATACAACCGTTCAAAATCTTTGGGATACAACAAAAGCAGTCCTGAGGAGGAAATACATCGCAATACAAGCATCCATTCAAAAACTGGAAAGAACTCAAATACAAAAGCTAACTTTGCACCTAAAGGAGCTGGAGAAGGAACAGCAAATAAAACCTTCACCCAGAAATATCAGAAAGGGAGACAGAACATGAAAGACTCCTAACTCTGGGAAACGAACTAGGGGTGGTACAAGAGGAGGTGGGTGGGGGGTGGGGGTGACTGGGTGATGGGCACTGAGGTGGGCACTTGACCGGATGAGCACTGGGTATTATTCTATATGTTGGCAAATTGAACACCAATAAAAAGGGGATCCCTGGGTGGCGCAGTGGTTTAGCGCCTGCCTTTGGTCCAGGGCGCGATCCTGGAGACCCGGGATCGAATCCCATGTTGGGCTCCCAGTGCATGGAGCCTGCTTCTCCCTCTGCCTATGTCTCTGCCTCTCTCTCTCTCTCTGTCTCTGTCTCTCTCTCTCTGTGACTATCATAAATAAATAAAAATTTAAAAAAAGAACACCAATAAAAAATATTTATATATAAAAAAAAACCTTCACCCAGCTGAAGAAGAGAGTTAATAAAGATTTGAGCAGAACTCAATGAAATAGAGACAAGAAGAACTGTGGAACATATTAACAAAACCAGGAGTTGGTTCTTTGAAAGAATTAATAAGATAGATAAACCATTAGCCAGCCTTATTAAAAACAAAAGAGAAAAAACTCAAATTAATAAAATCATGAATGAGAAAGGAGAGATCACCACCAATACCAAAGATATACAAACGATTTTAAAGACTTATTATGAGCAGCTATACGCCAATAAATTAGGCAATCTAGAAGAAATGGACGCATTTCTGGAAAACCACAAACTACCAAAACTGGAACAGGAAGAAATAGAAAACCTAAACAGGCCAATAACCAGGGAGGAAATTAAAGCAGTCATCATCAAAAACCTCCCAAGACACAAAAGTCCAGGGCCAGATGGCTTCCCAGGGGAATTCTATCAAACATTTAAAGAAGAAACCATATCTATTCTACTAAAGCTGTTTGGAAAGATAGAAAGAGATGGAATACTTCCAAACTCATTCTATGAGGCCTGCATCACCTTAATTCCAAAACCAGACAAAGACCCCACCAAAAAGGAGAATTATAGACCAATATCCCTGATGAACACGGATGCAAAAATTCTCAGCAAGATACTAGCCAATAGGATCCAACAGTACATTAAGAAGATGATTCACCATGACCAAGTGGGATTTATCCCTGGAATGCAAGGCTGGTTCAACACTCGTAAAGCAATCAATGTGATAGATTACATCAACAAGAGAAAAAACAAGAACCATATGATTCTCTCAATAGATGCAGAGAAAGCATTTGACAAAATACAGCATCCATTCCTGAACAAAACTCCTCAGAGTGTAGGGATAGAGGGAACATTCCTCAGCGTCTTAAAAGCCATCTACAAAAAGCCCACAGCAAATATCATTCTCAATGGGGAAACACTGGGAGCCTTTCCCCTAATATCAGGAACAAGACAGGGATGTCCACTCTCACCAATGCTATTCAACATAGTACTAGAAGTCCTAGCCTCAGCAATCAGGCAACAAAAAGAAATAAAAGCCATCAAATTGGCAAAGAAGAAGCCAAACTCTCCCTCTTTGCAGATGACATGATACTGTACATAGAAAACCCAAACGACTCCACCCCAAGATTGCTAGAACTCATACAGCAATTCGGCAGTGTGGCAGGATACAAAGTCAATGCCCAGAAACCAGTGGCATTTCTATACACAAACAATGAGACTGAAGAAAGAGAAATTAAGGAGTCAATCCCATTTACAATTGCACCCAAAAGCATAAGATACCTAGGAATAAACCTAACCAAAGAGATAAAGGATCTATACCCTAAAAACTACAGAACACTTGTGAAAGAAATTGAGGAAGACACAAAGAGATGGAAAAATATTCCATGCTCATGGATTGGTAGAATTAATATTGTGAAAATGTCAATGCTAACCAGGGCAATTCACACATTTAATGCAATCCCTATCAAAATGCCATGGACTTCCTTCAGAGAGTTGGAACAAATCGTCTTAAGATTTGTGTGGAATCAGAAAAGACCCCGAAGAGTCAGAGGAATATTTAAAAAAGAAAACCATAGCTGGGGGGCATCACAATACCAGATTTCAGGTTGTACTACAAAGTTGTGGTCATCAAGACAGTGTGGTACTAGCACAAAAACAGACACATAGATCAATGGAACATAATAGAGAATCCAGAAGTGGACCCTCAACTTTATGGTCAACTAATATTCAACAAAGCAGGAAAGACTATCCACTGGAAAAAAGACAGTCTCTTCAATAAATGGTGCTGGAAAAATTGGACAGCCACGTGCAGAAGAATGAAACTAGACCATTCTCTTATGCCATACACAAAGATAAACTCAAAGTGGATGAAAGATCTAAATGTGAGGGATCCCTGGGTGGCACAGCGGTTTAGCGCCTGCCTTTGGCCCAGGGCGCGGTCCTGGAGACCCGGGATCGAGTCCCACATCGGGCTCCTGGTGCATGGAGCCTGCTTCTCCCTCTGCCTGTCTCTCTCTCTCTCTCTGTGACTATCATAAATAAATAAATAAATAAATAAATAAATAAATAAATAAATAAATATTTTAAAAAAAGATCTAAATGTGAGACAAGATTCCATCAAAATCCTAGAGGAGAACACAGGCAACAGACTTTTTGAACTTGGCCACAGCAACTTCTTGCAAGATACATCCACGAAGGCAAGAGAAACAAAAACAAAAATGAATTATTGGGACTTTGTCAAGATAAGAAGCTTCTGCACAGCAAAAGAAACAGTCAACAAAACTAAAAGACAACCTACAGAATGGGAGAAGGTATTTGCAAATGACCTATCAGATAAAGGGCTAGTATCCAAGATCTATAAAGAACTTATTAAACTCAACAGCAAAGAAACAAACAATCCAATGATGAAATGGGCAAAAGACATGAACAAAAATCTCACAGAGGAAGACATAGATATGGCCAACAAACACATGAGAAAATGCTCCGTATCACTGGACATCAGGGAAATATAAATCAAAACCACAATGAGATACCACCTCACCCCAGTGAGAATGGGGAAAATTAACAAGACAGGAAAGAACAAATGTTGGAGAGGATGTGGAGAAAGGGGAACCCTCTTGCACTATTGGTAGGAATGTGAACTGGTGCAGCCAGTCTGGAAAACTGTGTGGAGGTTCCTCAAAGAGTTAAAAATAGATCTGCCCTACGACCCAGCAATTGCACTGCTGGGGATTTACCCCAAAGATTCAGACGCAGTGAAACGCCGGGACACCTGCACCCCAATGTTCATAGCAGCAATGTGCAAGGAGCCTCGGTGTCCATCGAAAGATGAATGGATAAAGAAGCTGTGGTCTATGTATACAATGGAATGTTACTCAGCCATTAGAAAAGACAAATACCCACCATTTGCTTCGACGCGGATGGACCTGGAAGGTATTATGCTGAGTGAAATAAGTCAGTCGGAGAAGGACAAACATTATATGGTCTCATTCATTTGGGGAATATAAAAATTAATGAAAGGGAATAAAGGGAAAGGAGTGAAAATATCAGTGAGGGTGACAAAGCATGTGAGACACCTAACTCTGGGAAACGAACAAGGGGTGGTGAAGCGGGGGTGGGTGGGGGGTTAGGGTGACTGGGTGATGGGCACTGAGGGGGGCACTTGATGGGATGAGCACTGGGTGTTATGGTATATGTTGGCAAATTGAACTCCAATAAAAAATTTTTTAAGATTTTTCTTTTAAAAAAAAACATATGATATCTATTGTTTCATCATCATTTGTTGAAAAGATCCTTTCCACACTGAATTGCTTTTGCACCTTTGTCAAAAATCACTTGGCCAGATAAATATTGTGTGTGGGTCTATTTCTTCATTTTCTAGATGCCACAGCAAATTTTATTTTTAAGATACTTTTAAAATTTTTATTATTAAAGTTTCATACAGTGCTGTATTAGTTTTATATGTACAACATAGTAATTTGAAAGTTCTATGCATTATGTAATGTTCATCACAGTAAGTGTAATCACCATCTATCACCACATTATTCCAATACTATTGATTGTATTCCCCTGTCATTCCTGTGACTTATAGGGCAGGGAAGCTTTGACAGAGATAGAGAAGTAGCTCATAGCAGTAAGACCTCATAAAAAGAACCACACATTTATGGAGTAGTTTGTTATATGGCAAAAGCAGCTGTGCTGATCAGTGAGTGCTGGATAATTTATCCCAATGGGAGAAAAAATACAAGATCCTTACCATTTATAATGCACAGACACACACACACACAGCTCAGAAGAATAAAGCTAGATCAAAGGTATAAATGGAAAGAGCAAAACTTCATCAAAAATTAAAAGCTTTTTTTTTTTTTTGTATTACAAAAGCTCCCAAAGGATACTAACACCGTTGCTGTGTGGACCACAGCAAAGGAGCAAGAGGGACTCTCCCTCCCATGTAAGCCCGTGGAAACAGAAAGAAAAATGCTGGTTGCAAACTGGTATTACCCAAACAGCAGATAGAGCTTTCATAATATTCTATGAAGAATCCCTAAGTTGTATCATATTCTTATAACAGAGAGCTATAGAGCTGTGGAAAATTGATAAAATCAAGCAATGTACTGTAGAGCATGCAGGTATAGTTTAGGGAAATCAATCATTCATTCACTCATTCATTCTTTCTTGTATTAATTCCCGAAATACTTCTTGAGCACTATGTGGCAGGCATTCTGCATGTCTGGACTCAGGGTGCGGATCAGAAAAAACACCTCTACTCCCTACTCCCCAGCCTCTCTGTCTGAGTTCTGAGCTCTCCCACACCCATGTTCATCTTTGCCACTATTTAGAGTCTCCCAGTCCCTCAATGGGCTCCATTAGTAGTTTTAGTAATACTTTCCTTATTCATTCCAAAACCGAGTCCTATGAAAACTGACATATATACAGTATATGGGGGAATCTTTGGAGTTTGGAGCTCAAAGCTTTGACCTTTATCCCAACTCCACACCTTGTAACCCCACCCCAGATTCAAAGACACTTCATTCAAAAACTTTCAAAGCCAGGATGTACAAACTCAGGATGCGTGGGAGCTGGAAGCCTCTGAGATTTCCAAAAACATTTAGAGAAAACAAGAGCATTCCCAACATTTTTGCGAGACTATATCCTCCTGGTATGTGCTGTGTGAAATAGTGGGCTCACCTTGGACTCCTCTGGACAGTCCATGATGGTGACATGACCTTCTCTCTATGTACTAAGGCCTGCCCCCAACTCACCTGTTATAGGTTCTGTCGCCTGCAGATGTAGGTGACTATGAAACTCATCACCAGCAGTACCTTGAAGCCCAGAAGGAAAGCCACAAAGAGAAGGACAGGCATCTCTGGACCTAAGTACCAATGGACAGAAGGAGACAGCAAATGGGGCTCCGTGAGTTTAAATACCTCACTCCACTCAGGAGACAAGGTGACCTAGTAGCTCAAAGCAGTAGAGGTGAGCTTACCTGAGCTTCCAGTGGGCTTGTATGTGCCATGGGCTGCTGTGGACAATATGAGGTTGGCCTGGATGGGAGGCTGTGCCTCATGTTGCACCTTACAGGTGAGCACCCGCTCAGACTCCTGCCTGGACACATTCACCAAATGCAAGCTTTCCATGGTGTAGGTTCCATCGCCATTCCGCTTGGATGTGAGTTTCTCAGCTCCCTTGAACATATGACAGTTGTCTATCCAGGTGAGATGTACACTCTGTGGATAGAATCTCTGCACGTGGCAGGTAATAGCCACCAAGCCCAAGGAGGGTGAAGACTGAGACACTGTCACTGTAGGAGAAACTGACACAGCCCAGATAAAGCAGACAATTACTATAGGAAATCCACCGTGAGAGTCTGGGGGCTCCTAACATGGGTAATCTGCTCAGGGCTTGCCCCAGAGGAGGATTCAGGTATCTGTTAACAGGTGCATGCATGAGTAAATGATGTCTGAATGAGAGTGTGCATTGAGTGAATGCATGCTTGATAGAGGTGGATAGAGGAATACATGGATGAAAGAATGATGAGATTGAGGAAAGTCATCAAAATCTCTCTGTTTTTTTCCCCACTTTGGCTATGAAATATGCAAAGATAAGTATTAAATTCCATTTAATAACCTACAAGTTCCTCTCTCTCTCTCTCTGTCTTGAATAAATAAAGAAAATCTTAAAAACCTCTCTCTCTCTCTCATGAATAAATAAATAAAATCTTAAAAAAAAAAAAAAAGAACTTAAAAAAGGGGCAGCCCTGGTGGCTCAGCGGTTTAGCGCCGCCTTCAGCCTGGGGCCTGATCTTGAAGACCCAGGATTGAGTCCCACATCGGGCTCCCTGCATGGAGCCTGCTTCTCCCTCTCGCCTGTGTCTCTGTCTCTTCTCTCTCTCTCCCATGAATAAATAAATAAAATCTTTTTTTAAAAAAAAAAGAACTTAATAACCTACAAGTTAGTTGCCTTACTCTGTGACTTGATAATTCTAAGATTTGAAGATTCACAGATTCTACATGGTTATGAGTCCAAGATACTGAGATTTTGCATAGGAAGGAGAAGGGGGGCAGCCCCGGTGGTGCAGCAGTTTAGCGCCGCCTGCAGCCCAGGGCGTGATCCTGGAGACCTTGGATCTAGCCCCGCATCACATCGGGCTCTCTGCATGGAGCCTGCTTGTGTCTCTGACTCTCTCTCCCTCTCTCTCTCTCTCTCTCTCTCTCTCTCTGTGTCTCTATGAATACATAAATAAATAAAAAATCTTTAAAAAAATTTTTTAAAAAAGGAAGGAGAAGGGTTTACGTAGGGTTTGGAGAGGTTTAGTACCTTTCCAGGTCACAAGGGAGCAAGACACAGTATGTTTTACCATCATGCTGATCTAACACCCGAACTTTAAGACTATATGCATTTGTGATTCTTGTCTTCTGAAATTACATTCTAATGACTTCTAGAATTCCTTTCAACTGATTTTTAGCTGTGCAGTAGAATGTATTCATAATGAAGAAAATCTGGAAGATTTTTAAATTCTATTAAATGTTATATATGTCAGTAGAATTCATATGAACACAAAAGCATGGTAGAGTGTAACCTAAACCAAGGGCAAGGAGATCCAGGTTGTGGTCCCTACAGTGAACACATCCAAATGCAAGAGCTTGTGTGAGTCACTTTCCCTCTGTCTCTGGAATTCTTTTTTTTTTTTTTTTTTTTTTGTCTCTGGAATTCTTAAATTATGCAACAGCCCAAGGTCAGATCATGTCTTACAGATCTAGTTAAGATAGATTTCACCCCTTGGTCTAGGGTAGAGAGAGTAACTCCTTAGGTAGTGCAAAAGAAAGAGCAAGGAGCGTCTAACCCCCAAATATCCTTTTTTCATAATCAACCCAGCCAGCTCTATAAAATTCTGTCAGTTATTTAGTGGATGGACAGCCAAGGCAGGTAAACACCCCAGGAGGTCTCTATCTGTACTCAGCATTTCCCCTTTGCAGGGATGACTCCCAAGCAAAGAAGTGGAGCTGGAGAAGGAATCAGGCCTAGTAACTGGGGTGATGTCCAGGAAGGATAGGCCAAGGTAAGGTACTCCCAAGCAAGTGTTATGGACTGTGGAAGTCAAAGGAGGGAGAGGCCCAAATGCCAATTCTAGCTGCCAGTGAGTTCTCCTGGCTGTGTGGTCCCCCAGCAGTATTAGGAAGACAGAGACCCAGACACAGGAGATGATCACTGCTTCCACACACAGAACAGCGGTGCATATGATATCTCCTCTAATCCTCACAGAATCAAATGAGCTAAACACGGAAGGGTACCTGGTATCAGAAAGCAACAACAAAAAGCCACTATAAGGAATCTATACAAAATGGGCCACAATTTCATAGAAATTGTCAAGGAAGAGTTGGTTGAAATTTCATCTTGAAAAACATTTCAGTGATAAAACTAATTTTATTTAATTTGTTTTCATTAAATGTAAAATATAAGCACACCTGTGCACCAACTCTTAGGAACAGGTGTTGGGAGTGTAAGAAGGTAAATATACTTTTTCCCAAAACCTTATACTACAGTACCAACAAATCCATATAGTATCTACAGATATCACATTCACAGTACCATCATTAAAAGTAATTGAAAAATTACGTGAAAGCATTTGAATGTTCTACCAATTTTCACAGGGGCCTCTTTCAAAGTGTCCTCTTTTGAAGTGCCAATGGAATCGTGAGCATCATGGATCTTTTTCTTCTTTTTCCATCTTGAAGCACTCAGAGGCTTTGCCTGTGATCCCAGCAGTTTCCCCACATCATTGGCATCAACTTCTTGAAACAACTTTTGCAAGAACTCTGATTTCACTTTGCAAGGAATGCAGATTCTTTCTGCACAGTGTGGTCTCTTGTTTGCCACACTTCAATCAAAGCAACGCTGATCTCCAACAGAGGGTCTCTGAGCTCCACACCACCTACACCTTGCTGCCCTATCTCAGGGCAGCCAAGCTGGTAGGTGCCTCATATCTCCTGCAACTCCCACAACACTTCCCAGATTCTCCGCCTTGGGCTTTCTCCATGACCATGAAATGACACCCAGACCATGCAAGCACATCCCAACTTCCTTACCCCACCCAGGGACAATCCTGAGGAAGAGTCTACCCAGGTCCTGAAAGGGTCCCAGTGCTGTTGAGCCTCAGTTGTCCACAGGGGCACCCATTCAATAACTCTCTTGGGTGTCCCACCGTCCCTGCCTGATGCTCCCCATCCCTTGTCCCAACCTGTGCCTCTGTGGATCATTTCCCAAATGCCTGCACCCAAACCTGTTTTGAGGCTCTGTTTTCAGGGGAACCCAGATAAAGACGCCCACAATGGCATTTCCCTGATGGGAAACCCAACAGAGATGCAGCCAGTGTTAAGCAGCCAGAGGTTTGAGTGAGGCTAATTTTATAAGTAATTATTCATTTGTGAATATTTGTATTTTCTATGATTTTTGCTTTTCTATACATGTGTTCAGCTTCAAGGAAATTATATAATAAATACTCAGATAAGGAGGACCCCCCTGAATGATCATTTTCCTGCTTTACACTCAAAGATAGGAGTGGGAGAGCCTAAGTAACTAAGCAGATGATCCCACAGATGGTAAAAAGCAGCTAGAAGCCTGAATTCATATGAAAGGTCTCTCACTCACCAGCTTTACAACCTGGGGCAGACTTTACTTCTTTGAATCTCAATTTCCTTGTGTAAGTCACCAATATAGTGAGCACAAACAGTATAGGGCAGTGACACAAACTTAATAAGTGAACCCACACGAATGTGCCTTAATGACTGTGTGCTATGCTCATTTGAAGTGTTAATAACAATATTTTTATTCATATAAAATGATGCCTTTATTGCCATGATAATAGCAAAAATATTGAGGAAAATATTTTGTACACTTAAAAGTCCTACACACATTTAAGGAATTATTTTCTGCTGTGCAACCTTGGACCACTCACTTGCCTTCTCTGGGCTTTAGAGTTGTCATAAACAATGGGATGAGAGCTATAATTCCTTCTAAGTATGATACACACAACCTCACTGAATTTATAGACCTGCCAAGCACTGGTTCAGGCCAGGAAAATCAACAACAAAAATCAGATGAAAAAAAGACTTTTATGTCCTCTCCATATAAAACAATAATAATAAAAACATGAAGTTCCTGAAAGATACTCTTCTCCATTTTACAAATGAGGAAACTGAGCCCAGAGAAGTGCCACTCTGAGTGATTCATATAAGCAAGGCCTGTGTTATGTACTTAACAGGTATTATATCACTGAATCCTTGCCACAACCAAGTGAGGGCTGTAGCATTTTCAGAGGAGGAAATGGAGGCAGAGACATGCACAGCCCAACTGTGCACTGACCCACCTGAGCCGAGAGAATATTCTTACCACGGAGGTACTGGTCCAGGCTGATGGTTTTCTGGAAGAGTAGTGTGGACTTGTGATTGACATGGCACTGGACAAAGGAGAGCACGTCATCAGCCTGCAGCGGGACGAGCACTCTGCTGGTCACATTGTACGTGTCTCCGCTGAGGTGGACATGGGTCTGCCACTTGGGGAGCTTGTGGTTCTTCTTAAGCCAGGTCACAGTAACGTGACGTGAGGGGAATCCAAAGGACATGTAGGTCAGCTGGATGTTCGTGCCTGGCTCTGATCGCTGGAGGGGGCCTTGCAAGGAGTAAGAGTGGGCGCTCTGGCCTGCAGGGAGAGACCCCTCCCGTGAGAGGCACAGAGGTGCCCAGATGCCTGGAGCACAGCAACAGGTATGGGCTGACTCCCACCCACACCTCCCAGCAAACACCCACATCGCTGAATTCTTGCTTTCCAGCTCTGCTAACTCACCAGGTTCTCCCTGCAACCCTAGGAGTAGGGACTGTTACTATCTCCATTTTACAGGTGAAGAAACTAAATAAGGCCCAGACAGGCTAGGTAACCTCTCCATGGTCCTCAGCCAGTCAGTGGCAGAGCCAGGGTTCTTAGCCAGGCAGTCTGGCCCCGGGGTCTGTGTCTGTGGTCACAGATCTGTGGTCACAGGTCACAGGCCTCAGGTCTGTCTTCCATCCCCAGAAAGAGTATAGCAGCTCCATGCTCAAGGCCCAGATCATATAAAAGCAGGTGGTACAGAGAATAGGTTAGGAGCTTAGGCTATGAGGTCACATCCAACCCAGGTTTGCATTCCTGGCCCCTCCACTGGCTGAGCCTGGGCAACTTGGCTCTCTAAGACTCAGCTTCCCCATCTGCAAACTGGGGAGCATTCTTAATTTTTAGCCGGTAAATTAAGTAAAGTAACTAGAGTAGAATATAGTGATCACATAGTGATCACTCCATAAATGATCCTATCATCATCCTATACTCACAAGAACCATCTGAGAAATTGTTGTTTATTTCTAATGTTAGAGAAAGAAAAGGCTCAGAGAGGGTTAGTGACTTGCCCACCGGCCTCACAGCAAACAGCATCCATAGTCCAAATCAAGGCTTGTGACTTCAGGTCATGGGCTCTTTCTGTTACAGGCCTTTACTTTCCTACTATTGGTACCATCATGATCAGTGAACTTCAATATTTTGCTTCTTGCAGCAGGCTTTGGGTTGGGCACCCTGGAGACTGCAAGCAGTCGTGACACAGCACCCTTTGTGAGCCTCATTGTTCAGTTGCCAAGCAGGGGCCAAGGAAAGGAATCCCCGGCAGGTCCCACGAGGCAGGTGCCACAGCTGTCAGGGCACAGATGAGGAACTGAACCCAGGACACAGATGGCTGGTGGCAGCTCTGTGATGGAACACTGATCAGCTTAGCTCCAGAGTCTGGCCACCTCCAAACACAAGATCCAGAATCTGCTTCAGAGGAGTGAGAGTCCCATCACTGAGGAGAGGTGTAAGCAAACAGAGCCCCACAGCAGGAGGGCCCCTTGGGCTAAGTGCCACTGTGGGGACCAAACCATGTGCCTGGTTGGGGGGGGGGGGCATTCAGGGAGAAGGAAATACCAGAAACAGAGCATGTGAGACTGAGATTTGAGAGGAGCAGTGAGATCACACTGAGGCCCTTATTCTCAGGCAGGAGGGGGAGAAAAATAGGAAAGAGCATATTGACCCGCCTTCTGACCCCAGCTCAGACGGCTGAGATCTCAGCTCCTCTGCTGCCTGTCCTGTCATGTGCCAGCCAAGCCATGCGAGGGCCTCCGGGACAGGGTCAGTGCCCTACAGGTGTCAGCCAACAGGTCAAGGAGGCCCGAGGTGGGGATGCTGAAGCTGCGCGGGTCCCAAGGTCCTCTCACACATAACAAAAAGGGGGCCCCAACCCTGGAAAAGGCAGGAGAATGAGACGGCGAGGCCAAAGCTCGGAGTGAGCTTTTTGTTCAAATTGAACACCAATAAAAAATAAATTCATTCTTAAAAAAAAAGAAAGAAATAACTGACGCTGGCCTCCGAAGAGCAAAGACCAGTTTGGACTTTCCCACCCAGATCTGCGTATCCCACTGGGCGAACGTTTCTCTTATTCCTGCTGGGCAACAACCAAAAAGGACCCGGAGAAACTGAACGGTGAGTGGGACCACTCCCGACGCCCTGGGAGCAGGCCGACCGCGGGGACCGGGGCGCAGACCGCTGTTTGGCCAGCCACGCCCCCCAGCACCCCACCTTCGCGGGCAGCAGCGGCGACCGAGACACGGGCACGCGGCAGCCGCTTCCCCGCTTCCCCGCTTCCCCCGGCCCTGGAGGCTGTGGGTCGGCCCGCCGGGCCAGTCATTCCTTCCCCGAGCTGATGGAGGCAGCCCCAAAGTTGGTCCCGCCGCGGGCGCTTCTCGGGCTGAACTGCTAGCAGGCAGCTCCCCCTAGTGGACAAAGTCATCCGCGGCCACAAAGGACAGGAGATGCGGAGGAGGGAGGGAGGGGGGTAGGATGGGAGGGGGGAGGGGGTTAGGATGGGAGGGGGAGGGGGTAGGGGGTTAGGATGGGAGGGGGAGGGGGAGGGGGAGGGGGTTAGGATGGGAGGGGGAGGGGGGTAGGGGGTTAGGATGGGAGGGGGAGGGGGTTAGGATGGGAGGGGGGAGGGGGTTAGGATGGGGAGGGGGGGAGGGGGTTAGGAGGGGGAGGGAGGGAGGGGGTTAGGATGGGAGGGGGGAGGGGGTAGGATGGGGAGGGGGGGAGGGGGGTTAGGATGGGAGGGGGAGGGGGGTAGGGGGTTAGGATGGGAGGGGGAGGGGGTTAGGATGGGAGGGGGGAGGGGGTTAGGATGGGGAGGGGGGAGGGGGTTAGGAGGGGAGGGGGTGGATAGGGGAGGGTTAGGAGGGGAGGGGGGAGGGGGTTAGGATGGGGAGGGGGGAAGGTTAAAAGAGGAAGAGGAGGAGACCGAAGGAGGAAAGAGAAAGGACAGAGAGACAGAGAACACTGGATAGTAGAGAGGAGAGTCTTGCTCCAGCATCCATTCTGTTTCCCAGCTAAGGGAGTGAAGAATTCTGGCCTCTCTTTAAAATTGACTCCCAGAAACTTTCAGCTGAACCAGTCTTGATTAAAAGCCTTCCAAAAAACAAACAAACAAAAACCACAAAAAACTTCAATAATAAATCCAGAAAGAAAGGAAGAAAGGAAGAAAAAGAAAGAAGAAAGAAAGAAAAGAAAGAAAGAAAGACAAAGAAAGGCCTTCTTGGAAGAGATCTTGGCACCCAGCAGTCCACAGTCTCTGCCGTTTCCTGCAGTCAAGCGTTAAGGCAGAGAAATTCCTACCTGAGAAGTGCCTATTATTGGAAAAGGAAAGTCCTGCTCCTTCTTGGTGGGAGTGTGGGGGAAGAAGGGGGTGTGGAGTTTAGGGTGAATGACTGAGAGTTTTGTCACCAGCCCAAGGCATCCTCCCTTCCTTCACCTTCATCGGATGCTTCCCTGAGTCCTGCACCTACTACTGCCTGCACCCTAGTCCGAGGGTAGGTGGGAGTGTTCATGCCTGACACCACCTAGCCATGCCACCTGGAGAGCCAGCAAGAGATGGAACCCACCTTTTCCCAACCTGGGCGCCTGGGCATGCAGGGTGATATTGGCTTGGACTGGGGGTTGCTCATCCTGGACCACCCAGCAAGCAAACTCAGTCCCATTCAGCGTGGCCTCTGCCTGCCATGTGTGCTCCAGAGAGTAGGTCCCATCTGGGTTTCTCGTGACCTGTGGGTACTCCACCTCCTGGACCTTGCGTCTGTTCTCCATCCAGGTGAGACGTAGGGGGGAGGGGTAGAAGTGGCTCACGTGGCAAGTGAGATTCACTCTCTGATGCACGCGGATGTGCGTCCTAGAGGTCTTGGTGCTGATCTTCAGGGTGGGGACAACTAGACAAACAGAAACATCTGTTGAAATTACCCCTGCCTGCCCAGCCTGTCCCTTCTCCCCGGAACCCACCACAAGACCTCTCACTCTCTCCTCTGTTACTTTTTTTTTTTTTTAAGAAATAATATTTTCTTGTATCCTCAATGTAAGGCAAATAAAGTGAAATGTTAGTGTTCATTAAAAATGGGTAGGGGTACCTAGGTGTCTGGTATATCAGTTTTTGTATGTTTGAAATAGTTCACCTCATGAAATATAATTTTACGAATGAGTAAAATATGATGCCCACAAGGACAGGGATTTAACTTTATTGCTGTATCCCCAGCACCTACAATAATGTCTGGCACACGGTAGACATTCACTACTGGTTGAACAAATAAGACATTTTTTAAGGGACGCCTGGGTGGCTCAGTGGTTGAGCATTTGCCTTTGGCTCAGGTCGTGACCCCGCGCCCCCACCTACTGCACCCCCACCTTGGAGCACTTGGGAGAGATTCATGGTCTTTCGCAGAGGCTCTTTCAGCGCCGTGTAGGTGACTTCACAGGTGATCCCCAATAAGATATCTTGGCGGGCCAGTGTCACCCATACCTTACTGGTGATAGAATAGTTGCCTTTGTCATTAATCACCAGGTACTGAGCTGAGGCTGGATGCTCGTCTCTGCCCTTCTTCCAGGTGACATTGAAGTCCCAGGAGCTAAAGGGGCCAGCAGTACAGTTGAAAGGCACCGGATTTCCTGGGGTTGTCCTCTGAGATGGGCCCATCAGAGAGATGAAGGGCTGCCCAGCTATGAAAGAGAGCTTGTGACCACACAGAACAGGATGCATACAACACTCAATGGCCCTTGAGGGCTGCCCATGGCACGTCAGGCCTTGTGGGCTTAACTACGCACTGTGTCTCATTCCAGCCGTGGGGAGCATAAAACGGATGATTACAAGTAAACAAGCAAATATGTCATTAAAACTGGGGCTCAGCTTCAGGGAAATGTGAAGTGCAAGGTAAAAAAATGCCAGAAGACTTATTCTAGAAGAGAATGTAAAAGGCTTCCTGAAGAAGGTGACATTTCGAGCTGAACCTGAGGGATGGATAGGAGGCAGCCATGAGAAAGGGCAAAGGAAGAATGTTCTAGAAAGTGGGAACAGCCTTGGAAGAATACCTTGGAAGGAAGAGCTTGGTGGGCTTGAGAGGCTGAGAGAACCAAGCATCATGAACCGAGAGGTCCACATGGGGAAGAGCCTGTGGTACAGGGTGATGCCTCTGACTCTATTCTGAGTGTGATGGGAAGCCATCGGAGATTGTGAACGCAAGGGCAGGTGGCCTCATGGACGTGGTTTAGAAGGAAACTGGTTGCTGTGTGGAGGATGGAAGGGAGGATGGCAGGATGGGAGTAGGGACACCAGTAAGGAGGCAGCACAGGCCTGCCTGGATCAGGGTGGTGGGTAATGGGGGGACCCAAGACCCATGTGACAGATACAGCCAGCAGGACTTGGTGACAGACTGAAAGGGTCTGTCCTCCACTATGGGGGACACCATGGATTATGGAGAAATGTCTCCCAGGCTTTTCTCTTGGACATCAGGTGGATGGTTCTGGTTTTGGGGAGAGATGTGGTGAGGACTTGAGATTTCCCTCTTGGACATCAGTGTGAAGTCGAAAGCCACCTGGGGCAGAGACGTTTGGCCCTCCTAATCAGGTCCTTCAATGTCCACATCTCATTGGCATCTACCCTCTGCTTGCTCACCTCCAGGGATGGGGAGCTCTCTCGACCTGAGGCAGTATTGCCCATCCTCTTCTAGCCTAGCATCTGCATCCTAGTGTCATCCCAGGACAACTGCAGAACTAGATTCTCTTCCCCCTCCAGGCACTCTGAACACCCAAGAAACTGATCAGAAATCTTAGAATGAAGCTGCACATCTACAAACCATCTTCTTCCCCGTGGAAGATGGGGGAATTCATCCCAGAAAAGGAGACAGAGACAACGAGGTTTAGTGACCTGTATAGGATCATCCAGCCTGCTGCGGGCTAAGAAGGAATGTTAAGCAGGTCTATCTGATTGAGAGTCCTGTTCTCTTCCCACAACGCCAGAGATGCCAACACTCGAGGGCCCTCTAACTCTGTCTCTCTGGCCCTCTTTCCCTCTCTGACCTAGGTCTGCTAGCCACTCAGACCAGAGCTGACATCAGGGAGCCCGGGTGGGAGGTGGACTCTTTTTCTCTCCCTGTGCTTCCTCAGTCTCTAGCCCTCGTGTCCTCCTGACCCCCAGCCTCCCACCACCTTCATTTCCTACCATGTCTACAGTGAGGAAAGGACACAAACAAACACCTTGTCATAGGCAAAGGGCTAAGATAAGTCCTCTACGGCCCAGACCCCTGCAACACAAGACAGCTGGGTTTAGGGATTCCCCAGGGCCTCCCTGCCAGCTCTGAGGGTGTCTTTGGCCAGCACCCAGGACTTACCTGTGAGTCCCAGCAGAAGGGTGGGCAGCAGGGTGCCCAGGGCCTGCCCACGTGTAGTGGCCATGGTGAGGAGGCTCAGTGTCCCAGGTCCGTGCTGGGCACCAACCCTGGATGACTCTGAATGAGCCTGGAAGCTACTGCTTGGTGTCCCAACAGTTGAGGACCAGTCACACACTTCCTGGACACATGCCCACTCAGGGTCTGGAGCAGTGGCTTGAGCCACAGAGAGAGAAGTGGTCACTGTGGCCCAGGCCTCCTTTCTAAGCCCAAACTCCCAGGCCTGGGGCCTGTAACCAGGGAGATGTCTGCTACTTTTAGCCTGGGTGCTGACTATCCCTAAAGCCGCACGAGCAGCAGTGGGAGGAGGCCGGACTCCACCCTGAGTCTAGAGCCACAGAGCTCCCTGGGATGTGCAGAGCATCCTCGACACTGAACAAATGTGACTAATGGCCTGCTCTGCCCAGCCCACTATGCCTCCTGGGTCTACAGAATGAGTTGGATAAAGTGAGCTGGGACATATGCAACCAAATAAAACCAAGAAAAGGGCACAGACGGAAACCCAGTTTCACTAGGCTGGCACAGTGTGGTGGGGCTTCTCCTGGTGCCCAGAATGATCTAGCAGGCTCTGAGTTGGGGGAAGCCAAATGTTAAATACAGCTACCAGCACCCTGGTCTCTCCCCTTGGCCACTCCCCATCCCCTTATGCTACTAGATTGGGCTTCCCAATAGCTAGCTCTGACATGTATACTTATTCGTTCTTGATCCCTTTTCCCAACGAAGAATGATTGGCAGTGAGGATTGCTGTCTTTCCTTCATTGCTGTCACCAGCCTCTAGCAATGTGCTGGGCACATGGTAGGGACTCAATAATAATAAAAGGGACCAGGTACCTTCTCAGGGCTAATAAAAAGTGGCAAAAACTGGCTGGGCCCCCAGCCATCTCACTGCCCCCATGCTGTCTGTTTCACCTACCCAGTTGTGGAGAGAGTGGTTAGCCTTGGGGAGACTGCCTTGGAATCTCTCCCTTTGTCACCTCAGCCAGGCATGGCATCCCCCCAAATATAGCTCCTAAGGATGGGGTGCCTGCAGGAAGGAGAAGTAAGCTTTTCCTCCTCCAGGTTTCTCCTGAGGCCAACCACCAGTGGGCTTCCTACACTAATAGGAGAAAAAGGAAGTGAAAAGAGATGGGGCAGTGGAGGTACAGCCCACACTTCCCCCCTGTGGACTGGCTGGGGGCCAAGTCCTCAGAGAGCCCCCAGGAAGGAGGATGACCAAGCTCAGAGCGTCCTGTCAGCAGCCTGCTCACAAGGGTCCCAGAAGCAAGAGATTGAAGCATGGACTCTGAGGGCAGAGCTGCAGAGCTGGATCAGACCGGGCAGGAGAGACAGCTGTGCTGTGGGCACCCCCATTCCACACACACGTGCATGCCCACACATGCGCATGCCCACATGCACATGCACTCCCCACACCCACATGCACGTGCATTCCCCACACACATACACACACATGCATGCCCACACGAACATGCACTCCCACAGGGCCCTCAGAAGGACTCACATCTGGGACCCAATTAGGGACTGGATGAGGAACAAAAGGACCACTTTGCCTCCAACCCTTCCAGATCTCACAGCAGAGATTTGGGGGCTGCGCTGGTGGTGGGGAGGGAAGGAGTAGTGTTTGCCCTGTGCTGGTTGTATTGTTGGCATCTGGAAACAGCTTTGATGGGGCTAGGCTTTAGACAGGGCCTAACACAGAAGAGCTTTTTCATAAGAGTTTGATAAAATGATTCATCTGTGGCCACCCATTCTTTCAACTCTCCTAGAGCATCTTCCGGCAAGTGTCCAGAAATGTGGGCTTTGCCTAAGAGATGGAGAGGCAAGCAGAAGAAATGTGACAGAGCTAGGCTGGAAGCAGGGCTCAGAGAATAAATAAAACTAGTGCAGGCCAGGACCCCTGCCAAGTTCAGCAGCTCAATGAAGTGGTTGCACCAGTCACAGGACCTTGGTCAAACCCGAGCTTCAGTTTCCTAACATGTAGCAAGAGGCTAGTGATATTTATCTGTGACTGAGTCTTGTGTATATAATGTCTGAAGTCCTGAGCATAAGATAAAAGCTAAATAAATGTGAGCTTGCATCCTGAGAAGTGCGACCCAGTCCCAATACCTCTTAGGCTTCTTCTACCTGTTAACTCCTCCTACTCACCTTTCTGCTCTTAGCTCAGCTCTCTCAGTGGAAAGACAGTGAGAGCCACAGGGAGCTTTAGATTTCTAGTATCCATGCTGAAAAAGTAAAAAGAAACATGAAATTAATTTTAACTACTATATTTTAACCCAACATCTGAAATCCTATCATTTCAAAAAGTAAACGCTATAAAAATACTGTGATGTTTACATTTTTTTCTTTAGTCTCTGAAAATTTCAACAAAATGAAATGTAGTCTTACCAAAAAATAAAGTTGTGTTTAATAAAGAAACCGCTTCAGTTTTAAAATTTAAATTTCAATTAATTAGAATTAAATGCAATTAAAAATTCAGTTCCTCCATCTGCATTTTGCCCCATGCAAAAGAATGAAACTGGACCGCTTTCTCATCCTATACACAATAAAACCTCCAAATGTATTAAAGATCTAAATATGACACCTGAAATCACAAAACTTCTTAAAGAAAACACAGATCAATAATATCTCGGACATTGGCCTTACTAACATTTTTTAAGATATGTTTCCTGGGGCAAGGAAAACAGAAGCAAAAATAAACTCTTGTGGCTACATCAAAATAAAAGGTTTTTGCACAGGAAAGGAAACCATCAACAAAATGACAAGCCAACCTACCAAATGGGAGAAGTTATTTGCGAATGGTGTATCCAATAAGGGGTTATTATCCAAATATATAAATAACTTCTGCAACTCAACACCAAAAAAACCTCTCCAACCTGATTTTAAAATGGTCAGAAGATCTGAATAAACATTTTTCCAAAGAAGACATGCAGTTGGCCAACAGACACATGCTCAGCATCACTCACCATCAGGCAACTGCAAATCAAAATCACAATGAGGTATCACTTCACACCTGTCAGAATGACCAGAATCAAAAAGATAAAAAACAATAAGTGTTGCTGAGGATGGGAAGGAAAAGGAACCCTCGTGCACTGTTGGTGGGAATTCATATTAGTGCAGCCACTGTGGAAAACAATATGGAGGTCCGTCAAAAAATTGAAAATAGAACCCTATGATCCAGTAATTCCACTACTGGGTATTTATCCAAAGAAAATGAAAACAGTAATTTGAAAAGATATATGTATCCCTATATTATTGCAACATTTACAATAGCCAAGATAGAGATATAACCTAAATATCCACCCATAGATAGAGAAGATATTATATATATATATATATATACACACACACACACACACACACACACAATGGAATATTACTCACCCCTAAAAGAAGATGAAATCTGGCCGTTTGCAACAACATGGATGGAGCAAGACAGTATAATGGTAAGTGAAGTAAGTCTGAAAGAGAAAGGCAAATACCATATGATTTCATGCATATGTGGAATTTAAGAAACAAAGCAAATGAACAAACTAAGAAAAAGGAGACAAGCAAACAAAACTCCAGACTCTTGAATACAGAAAGCAAACTGATAGTTCCCAAGGGGAGAATGGGTGGGAGGATGAGTGAGATAGGAGATGGGGATTAGGAGTACACTTATCATGATGAGCAATGAGTAATGTATAGTATTGCTGAATCATTATATTGCACACCCAAAACTAATATAATACCATATGTTTACTTCAATTTTAAAATATGTGTGTGTGTGTGTGTGTATTTTTTTTTTTAATTCACTTCCTTTGTGGCACTGGCCACATTTCAAATGCTCAGTAGCTACATGTAGCTAGTGGTTGCCATTTTGGACAGTACTGTCTTGGGTGAAACATTCCTTCCTTAGGAAAGCCATCTTTACCCTGATGTTCAACCCCATACACACACACACACACACACACACACACACACACACACACAAATTTGGGTACTTCTCTAGCATAGCACTTTTCACCGCTCTAATTTATTTTATAACTTGCAATTAGTTGCATAATTTCCTTTATTAAACTGTAAGCTCTGTGAGGGCAGTGACCATGTTTTTGTTTACCACTGTGAATAAGTGCCGGAGGCATAGTAGGTGCTCAATGAATGTTTGTTGGTTGGATGGACGGATGTTTGGATAAACAAACAAGAAAGGATGTGTGCTCTGGGGGTAAGGAAAAGGAGGAGGCACTGCTAATGAGAAAGCAGAGAAGACTTCCTGGAGGAAGTGACTTTGTCCCCAAGGGCCCTGTTCTTCCCTTAGTCTTCAATCGTGCCACCTGCAAGAAAGGAAGGGACTGGCAACACCAGGCTGGGGCTGTAAGGGGTATAACCATGGGCAATCTGCCTATGAAGGGCAGCTGAAGCTGGATGTCTTGAGGAGAAGTGGGAGATTAGAATCCTCTCGGGGGTGGCCTGAGGAGTGCCAAGGTAACCACAAGGCTCACCCAGGCTGGACCTTGTGCCCATTGGGCGAGGCTGGGCGAGGGAAGTCACACCAATCTTCTTGATTCCAGTGACAGCAGGAAGTGGGTCTCAAACAATTTGCAAGTACAATGTCTTATGGATGGAAGGCCCCAAGAGAATAATGCATCATGAGTGTGGACCCGAGCCCTGGCCTAATGGGCTGAAGAGTCAGAGAGACAGAACCTAGTTCCTCAGAAAAGAGACAACAGTGATCCCTAAAATCCAACCCCGTCTTGCAAGGATCCATCACCATTCCCCCTACCTCATCTTCTCAGATGAGGTTTATACTCAGCCTAGACAAGCCACTCCTGTCACCCTGCTGCTCCTCCAAAAATGTGTGTCTCCCCAAGACGGTGACCCATCTCCTTGAGGACAGGAACCACTGTCCACTTGCTCCATGTCTGAGTCTTCAGTACCTAGCACAGCACCTGACACATGTTTGCTAAATGAATTCATTTCATTATGAGTTTTCTCATTCCCACAACAGCTCTTTATAGAGCACCAATTACATGCCAGGAGCCAGCAAGCCGCTGAGCAAGTGAGCAGTAAGCACTTGCTCACTTGGTCTCCACCCTCCATTCTCAGGAAGCTATGTTCTAGATGGGAGCCTGAAAATAAAAGAACAAGTATGCACCATCATTTCAGGGAGGATTAACTGATATGAAAGACTGCATGGGCAAACCTCGGGCGGGGCGGGGGGTGCGGGGGGAGATGCATGTGAACTGAGACCTGAATGAAGGGAAGCCACGGGCCCATCTTGGAGAAAAGAGCTACAGAGAAGGACTCAGCATGCAAGGTGGGTGTGAGCTGGGTGCAGCAGGTTGACAGCAGGTCATCACACAGGAGCAGGGGGAGGGGGGCAAATGGTCATGGCAGAAACCACAAGGCCTTGTCTCATGGGCTGTGGTAAAGAGGTTGGATTACAATTGTGTGCAATGCATCAATAGACTGAGGGCAGAGGTGTGATAAGATCTGATTTGTAAATTAAAAAACGTACTTGCAGGTGGCTGGGAGCGGAGTAGGAGGAGGGTCAGGGTGGGGGGGAGGAGGGTGGTATGGGGAGTGGGAGGAGGTGAAGCAAGAGGCCACTGTAGCTATGGAATCTGGAGCTTGGGGGAGAGACAAGGATAGTGGGGAGGGGGAGATAGACATTTGCAAAGTGTCAGCCGGTGAAGGGTTTCCATACTGCATGAGGTAGGGGCAATTGGGAAAAAATGGAGAGGATGGAGACAGGGAGGGTCCCAGGGCTGGGGTTGTGATCTGGGCTCTGCTACCAGTTTGCAGGGTGACCTTGGGCCACCTCTCTGGGCCTCAGATTCGACAACTGGACTTGGAGAGGTTTGAGTCAGGTGACCTCCAAGGACCCTCTTGCTTGAATATTCACCAGCTGGGTTCCTTTCCTGCAGAGAGGGGTCCTCCCCAGCCCAGGCCTCCCACACACAGTGCCTGCTAAGCCTGCTTCTCCAAGCAAAGGGCAGAGTGAGCACCACAGGTGTGAGACCCCTGCAGCTGCGCAGGGCATGCACTGTGACAGACTTGCACCTGATGTCCTGCTCTGCCATCACGACCTTGAAACTCTTAATGATTTCTGAACAAGGGGCCCTGCATTCTCAGTTTGTACTGTTAATTATGTGGCCTGTGCCGCCACCTGGCCTTGGCCTCCTTGCTGAGAGGAGGTGAACTGCCACAGTGGTAGGTAGCAGGCATCCTGCAGGGTGGTAACAGATAAGGTAAGAGGCCCCCCAGGCCACTGAGCACCAAGATCAGGGACCCTGGCTGGGCTCCTTGTCACCAGCACCTCCCCACCCCTCCAGACTCTCTGATATCCCCCCTACAGTCCCAATAACTTCCCTGTTCCAGGACTGAAGACTTGGACCACTTGGATGGATTGACTCCAGTGACCCCACTCCCATAAAGCAAAAGAAAATAAAAGCAAATAACAGGAGATGATAGGTGAAGATCAAGGCCCAAAGAGTGGCTTTGATGATGGACTTGCGGGCTCCATGGACTTAGAGGGGGGCACATGTGTGGGAGCAGTAGGAAGAAAGTGAAGCCAGGGGAGATGAAGTGCCTCGTTTGATAGAGACCCACAGCCACACAGAAGCCAATGGGGAAGTTCCAGGGAGGTGTCTTTCACCTTCAGAGAAAGAAGGGCTTTTTAACAATGAATGCTGTCCAATAGTGAAACTCTTACCTTCTGAGGCGGAACTTCCCTGCACCAGGGGTGTGCAAGTCACGCATGTCACAGGACAGGACGCATGTCACAGATGCTGAAGAAAGGTTCTGAAGGAACAGTGGAACTAGGGAAGTGTCTGTTTCAAACCATGGGCCACAGTGTGATGGTGGGGCATGAAATCAATTGAAAGAACCTAACGCAGTATTTTTTTTTAACAAGAAAAGGTAGGAGATGAGACAAGAGAAGACAAGAGGAAATGTCTGGGTTTATCCCTTGTAGGAAGGAAAAATGCTGTTTCTTGAAGCTTTCTGTGTGTGTGTGTGTGTGTGTGTGTGTGTGTGTGTGTGTGTGTATTCGCACTGGATGGCGACCTAAAGCGAATTACTTACCATGGGTGCTAGTCAGAAAGATTGAAAGTCTCAAGAAGTTCTTCTCCAAGAACCCCCCAACTTTGCAGTCATGTGAGGAAAGATTCTTAGATTTTATGTATGAAATTATGAGGCTGGAAATCCAAGAT